AAGTGGAGTCCAGAACTGCACACAATATTCTACTTAAGACCTAAGTAATACTTACAAGGGGTCTACTAACTCTGGCTGTCTCATACCTAAAACTCTTGTTGATGCAACCCAAAACTGCAGATTTTTTGCAACTACATCACATTTCTGTTTCCTGTTGAGCCCGATCAACCAAAATACCTAGATACTTTTCAGCAATGCTACCCAGCCAGTTGTCTCCAATTCTATATTTGTACTCTTAATGAATCTTCCCTTTGTGGAACATCTTATATTTGTATATCTGTCTATGATGAAATTTATTTTGTTGTCTCTAGCCTAGCTGTTCGAAGTATCAAGATCCTTCTGAATTCTGTTCTTATTGTCTGAAGTATTTGCCATCCTTCCCTGTTTCATAGTCTCTGCAAACTTTATTAGGAAGTTATCTATGCTGGCCTCAAAATCTATTAGTAAACATATTAAATAGCACTGGGCACAGGGAATGCCCTTGTGAAACCCCTCTTGAAACGGGTGAAAACTCTTGCCATTTTGAAATGGATCCATGTATAATTATCCTTTGCTTGCAGTTATTAAGCGGTTATTACAGTTATCTACCTTGTAGTTATTTTAGCCAACCCATATTTCTTTAGTTGGCTTATATGAATGTCATTTGAAACTATCAAAAATCGTACTATTGTCCAAGTACATGTTGTCCACTGCATTCTCTTTCTCCATCCAAGTAGTTACTTTGTCAAAGGAGATCGGGTTAGTTTGGCATGATTTGTTCTCAATAAATCCATAAACATGTTCAGTCTTTTCTCCTCTGGATATTTATTTATCAACTGACAACATTGGACCAGTAATGTGCATCAATCACTTCCCAGATACTGAAGTCTGGCTGATCAGTAGGGCTGTGTAAAACAGCACCATTTCATTTTGACTTTCATTTTGATGGGACAGTGTTTCGCTTCAAGTTTCATTTTGTTTCAAAACCACTGTTCCATTTTGTTTCGTCAAAACTGTTCTGCTGTTTCGAGACTGTTTTGATGTTTTGCCCATAGGCTATAATGGGGAACCAAAAACTGTCTATAACTTGGTCAGTTCTTGTCTGATTTGGATGGAACTTGCAGTGATGGTAGCTCCTTCTGAGGCCATAAAGCTTGCCAAGTTTCAAGGACACAGATGCAGGGGTTTCTGGGAAACTATACCTCAAATTCTTGAAAGCAAAACTTGTGTCGTTGTGTTAAGGTGCAGAGGGGTGAAAACTGCAGGGATGGTAGCCCCTGCTGAGGCCATGAAGCCTGCCAGGTTTCAAAGCGATAGGTGCCAGGGATTCTGGGAAACTACATCTCAGGCTGCTGACAAGCAAAACTCGTGACAAGGGTGACAGAAAGCAGGCCAGTTCAAACAATGCTGCCTTTTATGCCCTTTTTGCATCTCTCCCCCAAAGCACTGGGATTGGAAGGGACCTCAGGGAAGGACCATAGTCACTGGCCAGCTACACAGTCAATATGAGAACAGTCCTTCCCCCCTCTTCCCCCTCCCTCTTTGTTTCCCTGCAGACAAGCCCTGCTTGATTTTTGAAACTCAAAACATTTCAAAACTTTCAAAATGTTTTGACTGCCCTCATTTCATTTCAAGGCTCTTTTGAAGCCCTTTGTTTCATTTTGATTTCACTGTTTCGAGCTCAAAACGAGTTGAAACAGTGTTGAAACAAAACAGCCAGCGAAATTTTGCACAGCCCTACTGACCAAACTTAAATACTTGGGTTCTCCTTTTTGTTTTCTTTTTAAGATTGGCACTATGTTGATCTCATCCATTCATCTGGAACCTTGCTGTCTTCTATGACTTTGTAAATACTATTACCAAGGGCTCCAAGATCCATCTTATCAGTTTCTTCAGCACCCCAATGAGAAGTTAAATTAATTAAAAGGTCTCTGACACTCTATGTAGTTATTGTGATCCTCCGTCTTTCCCTTTCTTTGTCTATACAGCTTTTGTTAGTTGTCTGTTGCAGCTTTTTTGTGAAGACCTGAGGCAAAGTACTTATTGAGCAGTTCTGCCTTCTTCAAATTTTCTTATTAATAACTCACCCTCATATAGCATTGGACTTAGTTTCCTTGTCCATTTTTTTGTTTAGTTTTAGTTAACATATATTCTTGTTTTTCATTAGCTTTATATCACCAGATGCACTCATATTTCATCTTTGCTTCCCTGATTTTTATTCCTGCAAATTCTTGCTATTTATTGCTATGCTTCCTTAATGCTGTTTCCTTAATGGTTTGTCCTTTTTTTTGTTGTTGTTGCCTATATATTCAGATCTGTCAGGCACTTCAAGATATTTGGTGAATAGCAAAAGTTTGCAGGATTGAACCTAATTCTTTTCTGTTGCTCAGTGAAGAACAACTATATGTATGTATTCCTTTTGATTTTTTTTTTGAGGCATCTAAGCATCTTCTGGTGCAGCCACCTTGGTTTCCCGTTGTTCTTCTTGAATTTCCATAGCATTGGAATAGCTTCTTGTCAAGCTTCAAATACCATCCCCTTTAGAGACTGCCCCCCTTTTGGACCTCTTTATCTTTCAGTCACTTACCTACTACATCTCAAAGTGGGTTGAAATTTTTTTTTGATATCCAATATTTTAATGTGAATTTCATGTTTTCCCTGTCTTAGAAGCATTAATTCAATCATATCATAATCACTTCCTACCAAGCTTTCTCTCACCTTCATTTCTTCAATCTAATTCTTTCCTGTCGCATCAGAAGAAGATTCAAGGATGATCCACTAGTCATATCCTCAAATTTCTGGAACATAAAGTTGTTCTCCACATGTTAAGAACTCATTGGAAAAGTTTATATTTTACTGTATTATTTTATAGACCGTTAAAATCTCATCTAATTTAATATCCTCATAGGTTGTGTTTTTTTTAGTAATCTTAACACTTCCTTGATGTGTACCTCATCTATCTCCTAATGCAGCCTCTTCTCTCATGCTCCAGCTAAGTATTTCTAAATGGATTTAACAGAGTTCTTCTTTGTCTTTCTTTTCACATTCCACTTTTTCTCACTCTTCTGTGGTCATTCCAAAATAAACTTTACAAAATGTATAAATGTGCAGCATTTTTTTTCTTTTAAAGTAATTAATTATAAACTCTTCCCTAAAGTAAATGGAATGTTTCAATGGCTATGTTGGCTTTCTGATAAGATGTGTCATTTGTGAGGTGTTTTTAATGTGCTACTGACCTTGCTTTCATTGCCCTAGCAATGGGAGAATCAGTTTGGGGCTATGTGCAAAGCTGGCTTGTGGCTTGCCATGCCACAGGATTACACTAATGCATTAGCAAGTGAGCTCTAAATCTTCTCAGCAAAAGACTGTTCCCAAGTTCTCAGACTTTAAATAATATAAAAATGAATGCATAGTCATAAGCTAAATTGTATATTACTAGTACTTTTTTAACGTCATAGTAATCAAAGCAAAGTTTTGTCACCAATTCTCACCCACAGCTTCAGCATTAGCTCTCTTAATGGGTCTTATTTCAAGCTTTCAGTGGAGGGGAAAAATGGTGGAAGTGAATGCTCAAAATTAATAGAAATGCCTACTTTAATTGCACTATCAATGGTTACTTCTTAGCACCATATTTGATTACATCATGACCGTATGATGTGAATGCATTGCACTGATATCAGTAATTCTTAATGGGAACCTGAAAGATTTGCTTGATTTTTTTTTTTTTCTATACACATTTTGCATTTTGAGCAGTACATCTTTTTTAATTCCTGCTACCCAATTGACACAACACATTGTACTTTCACTATGCCCCAATTTCTTGTTTGTTGGTTTGTTTTCAAGTGAAATGAAAAATTATTTAGCTGCATCTCCCTACTTGTTCATTCACTGAGATGGAAACTTGTGTATTGTGACTGGAAGAAATATCAATTTTGCTTTTGAAATTTCAGAAAAGGGAAGAAAATTGAAATAAAAAGCAGCCTACAGTAAGAATTGTGTTTGACTTAGCCCATATAGTGAGAACCTGCTATATTTGCCCAACAGTATCAGTGGTAACAGGAGTCGAGCAGCTGTCTCTTGGCAGCCATAGTCAGATGTATGCTTTATGCTGCCCTACTACTGCTACAGTATGGCAATGACAAGCCAGAAAATAGGAATAGAAGACATACAAAATGTTGTTAGCTTGAACTGTATTGCTAACTAATACAGATGTTTTCTCAGTATTCTTCTGCTCTTCCACTTTGTTTGGTTCTCAAAAAGAGCAAAAAGCAGTCATTTTTATAGCCTTTAATGTTTTTCCTTTAGCCTTTAATGTTTTGTTTTTTTTTTTTTTTTTTAGCCTTCAAGAAACTCCAGTCAAAGGCACCATTAATTAGCAATAGAATAATGAGGAATAAAACCCTGATGCTAGGATATTGGTTTTGCTTTTATTTACATCAATGTTTGTCTTATGCTTCTATATTCTCCCTGGTCACTGGTAATGATCTTTTTTTCCTGTAGTTCTTATGGTAATAACTGCTCTTCTGGACCCAATCCACCAACTAATTTCATTTGCACATTTGTTGAATAAAGTTCTATAGAAGTAAGTAGGTAGGAGTAGACCATGATTTTCCTATTTATAAAATGAGAATAAATATACATATCTTCTGTAGAACACTTCAAGAATTCTGGATGTAATCAACTACCTAAGTAAGTACCATATTTACTCAATTTATAGACAAGATTTCCCCTTCAGTCAGCATGAGTTCCCTCATCTTGCATTCATGTACAAGGAGATCTCATTAAATATGTTGTGTATCATTAAACTGCTGCCAGAAGCAGCAAGTGCTCAGTAATGGAAACTAACTATCAAGTTGATTAAATGCAACCAACATCGAGCATGATAATAAAATACATGGACCATATGAGGTAAGCATACTAATGGGAACCTTTTTTTTTTTTTATTTGCCCTTTCAAAAAAAATTCCAGGCAGGTGTTCTCTCCACAAGGAATTGGCATCAGGCCTGGAGGTACTTCAATACCAGGCTGGCACCAGGAGGGTACTCTCCACTTTGACACTCTCCCCTTGGTGCCAAAAATGCTTGATCTTAGTCAAAAGACAAAGATACCGATGGAAACCTACCACAATAACAGGTTAGCACAGCTCCTCTGAAAAAGATACGTGGCGATGCCCATTGTGCTTAGTCACCCTCAACTCTGACCCTTTTCACGTCATGGTGAGCTACTACATTATTACTTCCTCTTCACTTCCACAGCTGACCTGTGCCTTTCTTTTCCATTTCAAATGAGTCCCATGGTATGTTGTTTTTGTTTTTTGGATTTTTTTTTTTTTTTTTAACCAGCCTTCAATTTCTGGCCAACATCACTTAACAGGCCCCAAACAGCTTATCCAGGATCCCTCTGTCACTCTCTCTCTGTCTGGAACATATACTTAGTGTGGCCCAACATTCCATAAGATGGATGTGGATCAGGATGTCTTGGACTTCATCTGCATATGTATTTTGGGGGGATCCTGGAATTTGTGACAAGAACCCCTAGTTCTAGTAATGAGTGAGGGGGTGCTAATTGGCACATGGATCCTTTGTGGGCAGTATCTGGAATAAACACACATACTGAGCAGTGCTGATCTGTGGGGTCACCTTGCCTTGAAGTATTTGTCTGTGCTGGAGCCCAGCCCAATTAACTGTATGGTAAATTATGAGCCTTTTGGCTTTGGACTAATGTAATGAATACATGTGTGTATATATATACATATGTATGGTGTGTGCGCACACCACACACACATGTAGTAGATACAGAAGTGCTGCTTAAAAGTGTGTTTATGGAGTACCTGTGCTAAAACTTACAGCAGTTTCAAAAGAGGTAAACTACATCAATTCTGGATGAACTAAGTGTGTGGGTACATGTAGTAACCTCTATATACAAGTTAATACAGATATTTACTTTTATTTCTATTTCAGTGTTTTCAAACTTGCTTCTCACTTCCATGTGCTCAGGGAGAGCAGTGTCTGACAGTAAGGAGAGGAGAAGGGGCTTCAGAGGAAAGAAGTTGTGGGGAGGCAGAGGAGGCTACCTGACCCCCAGATTTATTTTCCCTGCTGTAGCAGTGGGAGGAGGATACATTTAAGGCAAACCTTCAATAATTAGATTCTGTACCTGGAAAATTATAAATGTATACATTTTATATATAGAGAGAATATTATTATTGGTGGGGCATCTTATAATCAGGGTTATCTTATATTTGAGTAAATATGGTATTTCTTTAATATCTTGACTTTGTTGTGAAAATTCTAGAATATCTTTATTTTTACAAGAATTTTTGTTATTACATTTTATATAGTTTATTGTTCATTTCAACCTTTCAGTTATTCATATCACAGTAAGACTGAATGATTGAATGGTAACACAAAGAAGGCAAACCATCCAGTTAATGTGTTAAGTCTAATACCCTGAAATCATGCTGTCCTTTCTACTTGGATGTATTGCATTTTCTGAGGTCTAACAAATATTTATTCTTAGAAGCAATTTTGGTTTCATATATCCCTAGCATGTAACAAGTCTGTGGAATTTCTTGTGACCAAAATATTGTTTTAGAGGAATACAGAAAAATAACCCTGAGCTGATGCCCCAATACTAAAGTCCTCTGTTATTGGGCGGTGAGTTTATAAAGTATGAATTGAAGTATAACACTTCTTTTTTTACATCTGTCCCTGAATAGACTGACAGCTACTTGCATCTCCAATTCCCATGTCTGTGTTACCTGCAGTCTAACGTATTATACATGAAACAACCTTAAAGTGTGTCTCTCTTATATGTAGGTTTAATCCCAAATACACAGATGTGGTAATTTATCCAAAAATTGTATTCATAACACACATGAAAGAATGTGGAGTTAAGTCATAATCAATTTTACCCCTCGGTCATAGTACCATGGTAGTTTCTTATTTGCTAGTATTTTTCGCATATAGTTAGTAATCTCTACAAAGCAGAGCTCTTGTCTTTTTTTTAAAACATACAGCACAGAGCTAGTTCTTTGTTTCTTCTGACTGTTTTTCAACCTGTGAGGAATTAGGATGAATATGACTGAGAGGCTGAAAAGGTCAAGTATTTAAAATTTGGTAATTATAGAACAGCCTTGATGAAATATTACTGTGCTTTTTTTCCCTCCCTTTAAAAAAAAAGAAAAAGACCATTTAACATCAGAAGACTGGGAAAACTTAAATTTTGCATAAAACCTGCATAATATCTACTGTCTGTCTTTTAATGTACTGTACACATTTTAAAATAAATAATATCTATTTTTTGTGAGCATCTCACCCCCAGAAACTTACTTTCTCTCTTTATCTAACACTTCTTTCTACATCTTCCTTTTAAGTAAAATTGCAAACAGTAAATGGTTTCAGCAGGTAATCAACAGATTTCCCTCTCAAAATACAGGAAAAATGACATATAAAAAAATAAAAAATATTAGAAGGAAAACAGATCAAAAAGAAGTAACATAATGAAAAAGAAATACAGCTTCACAAAGTCAAATACTTTACATCTGGCCAGAAATCAATAAGTACTTTCCAAAATGGTATTATGGAGGATTTTGTTTCAAGAAATTCTTCTCTCTTAAAAATTGAATGAATTATTTAGAGGAGATGCAAATTAATTTTGGAGTGATGCACACAGGAGAAATTGAGTTTGTCTCTAAATTTTCTAACTATCTTTTGTTTTTGTTTCCCGTTAGTATGGTAGTGTGCTTGCTGGGGTAGATGATCAATCCCTAACAGTTGTGTATCTAAACATTTTAGGGAGAAACATACTTTTCATAGTGCTCCTGAGGCTAAGCATAGATTACAGCAGCTGCCAAGTAATTGATCTGTGTTCAAGCTGTATCCAGCGAGTGTTTGCTTCTGAAATACTAGGGCAGCTACCTTCCCTGTACTATAGAGTGGTTCTCAACCTTTTTTGTACCAGGACCCATTTGTAAACATTAATGGCCAGTCCCGACCCAGTGCCCCTCACTCCTGACCCACTGCCTTCCACCCCAGGTCCCAGGGGTGGGTGTGTGGGGAATGGGGGTGGGCGGGGCAAGTAGCCCCATGCAGGCTGGAACTCTGCCAAGCCTGCAAGGGAAAAGCCTCAGTTTCCCACATATTTCTCCTTTGAAGGACAATCCATTTTTAAAGTGTGTTTGCAGGCCTTTCATACATTTGTGCGACCCAGTTTTGGGTCATGACCCATGGGTTGAGAAACACTGCTATAGAGCAATTTTTTAAAATGATTTTATAAACAAAAACCTGTTTGCTCCTTCAATATTGTCCTCCACAAGAGACATATACTTGTTTCACCATTTTATTTTAGGGCTTGTTTTGTAACTTTATGATCATGACATGGAGTTTTCCTCTGTGGAAGCATGTAAGTGTGTGGGTTTTTTTTTTTTAATTCTAAAGGAAGACTTGAAAAAATCTTGTCTAAGTAGGTGCTCAAATGTAGTGTGTTATGTGTCCTCTATTGTAATGCATTTTGCTCTGAAGTTGGAATAGTAGCTGAAGGAAGATCACTAGCATGAACAGAAAGGAATATGTTAACAGAAACAGATTACCAACATACCCTTATGTCACTCTGATCCCTATTTATGTACGTATATGTTCAGATTTATAGTGGTAGCCTGAAAAGAGCTGCAGCAGAATGGCAGGAGTTCATAGGTCAGCCGTAAGCATCTTGTCACAACATCCTGGATCTGTGTTCAGGGCAGGATGGGATTCCTAATGCTTAAAGATGGGGAGAGTGCATTCTTCAATAATAATAATAATTTCAGATTTACATGATTTGGGACTTGGACAAATTTAAGGACACCTCCTACAAACTGTGGCCAGGTAGGTTTCAAGACTGGTATTAGGCTTTATGTGAAATGATTAAATCACTAATTGTAGAAGGCCATAATTTCCTTGTGGCCCGATGACAGAGAAGGGTACTTGACTTGGCCTGTGTTGCAGTGAACTGGTTAAATGGCTCTAAGGCCCTGGCATGTGTTCATTCACAGTTGCACACCTAGTTGATTTATCAGTGATCTTGACAGGACAGATTGAATGCGGTTTGTAATCAGTAGTTAAAGCTAACTGAAAGGAGAAAAGCTCACATTGCATTCCTTTCCTTTTTTCCCAACAGAGCTTTAGTTTTATTTAAAGGTGTATGTTCAATGCAAGAGCCATAGGAAAACACTGGATCATGATATTCAGCAGTTAATAAAGGAATCTCCCAAAAACTGAAAGTTCCTTTTTGAGTCTCTGACTGGGTAATGAGGACCAGAAGTGAACCTCATGAGAGTCTAACACTACCAGAATGAAAAAAAAAAAAGTGACAGGTGCTGAAAAAAAGATGTTTACTTAATATGAATTTTGAGGACTTATCATAGGTTGCTCCTTAATGTTTATCTAAACTTTAGAAGTTTTATATGTATAAATAAAATAGAGTCTACCTGGTTCAGCCATTTTCACTGAAGACAGCATGCTTTGAATGGTTTTGAGAGACTGATTTGTACTGTGGGATAAATGCCTGGACTCATCCAAATTTGATAAGTTTTGTGATTCCTCCTCTTTCACCCTGTATTGGTAATAGAGATCTTCAAGTACTGTAGGCTTTCTATGAATTATTTGCAGAGGAAGCACATATAGTGTGATTTTTATTTAGTCTTCCATACAATATGCAGTCTGTGTGTGTGTGTGTGCCAGAGAGAGAGAGAGAGAGAGAAAGAGAGAGAGTACATCTTTGCTGATTAGTGTTTTGAACTAAATACATTTTTGCCTGAAAGCAATATGGAGAATTTCCCTCTTTCTTCTATGGTAGAAGAACACTGTATAATACCTTAAAATAGCATTCTTCAAAGAGAGAATATTAGGTATGAAAGCAAACAAGTTATAAATCTAATGATCTCAATTTTGGTACTTCAGCTCTGAAGTAGATGGAGCTCTGTAATTTTCTGCACATAACGGACATACGTTCTTACAACATATGTTTATTTTAAAAAATTATTATGTAAGTAAAACATTTGTCTTGCAATGCTTTGTTCGCTTTGATCTTCTATTTCCCACAACCCCTTTTCCCCACTTTTTCTTGGCAATGTGAAACATTAGTTTAAAATATATTTGGTGATTTCTCCATGGAAAAGAGAAAAAAAACTAACAAAAAATAGCTGATTAGCTAATAGTCTTAAATTCATTAAAGGAAACTACATAATATCCCCATGGTAAACTTGCTCTCTTGGCTTGAAAGTGTTAAGCAAATCGGAGAAATGTGCAGGACACCTGTCTCTCTTGCTAATAAGTAGTTCAGTGAGCAGTGGTGGAAAAGGGACAAAAATGGATTGTTCCCTTTGTGGTTGGGAGAGTGAGCTGCTTCCCCACCTCCCCCTTTACCATTGTCTTGGTGTAGGCTAAGAAGCAATGTTAATTAATATTCCTGTACCTGATTATCGAACTCAGTAAAATTATTTTAACTTTTTATTACAGAAATATCCATTATCTTTAGAAGGAAAGGTATTTAAAATTGGATTGATTTTTAGGAACTCTTATTATTTGAGCAAGATGCAATAAATCGCTAAATTATCCATTTTTGTGACTACCATATTTTTGTGCATATAAAATAAATGTTCCTGTTCTCTGAGAGTTCCAGAGATGCTGACGAACTGGCTCCCATAGTGTCAGTGTGCCCATGCTCTCTCTCCTTTTCATCTGATCAGAGCAATCGTATCACCTATATATTTCATATGACCAAAATTAATAAATGTATGAATTAACTGCAACTAACTGAGGCTAGGAATCCAGGTTAAAAAAAAATTAAAAAAAGATTCCACTAAATGGAGATGGTTGTATTTTAAATATTTTGTTAGAACACTAAATTTCATAGATTAGGTCAGACAGTACCATTCAATTATCTAACCAGGTCTCCTTTATATAAAAGACCAGTATTTTTCACCTGTATTGAGCCAAAAGGATTTAATAATATTGAAATATTGTAGTCTTCAGGAGACTGAAGTAGTTGTTCCAGGTAGGGAAAATGAGCACTATTTGAAGGTGTGGCAGGCCGAGTAGGAGGCACTACTACACTGAGCCGCCCATCTTACTGTGCCGGGCCCAAAGCCATGCTTCAGGAGTCTCCCCTGGGGTGCCTATGTCCAGCCATCCTCCTTCCTGGAGACCTCCAACAAGCCTGCAATAGTGCTGCCTCCACCTGGGCACTGGTCTCTGTTAGAGCTCTGTACAGCCCAGGGTACACAGACCCAGCCACGCTTGAGGTTGCTTTGTCCCCTGGAATTGTTTCTGGGTGCTGCTTATAACCTGAAGCTTCCCAGACAAATCTTAGGTAGGACAGAATTAATTTATAAACAGCCGAGTGCTGCTAGACGTGAAAACGTATCTCTGGCCCCTCTCACCTCAGGCATTCACAGCTAGGCATGCTGATCCAGATAGCCTTTTATTTATCAGAGAGAGAGAGCATGGGGGAGGGGAAGAACAAAGGTATTTTAGAGAAAACACCTTGAGCAATAGATAATACGTTGAGTCTTGCATCAAATTTGGGTCTGGTGACCCTTTTAACACGTGACTAAAATACTTAGGTCTAAACTACCAGCTAGATTCAAGATTTCTACTTACAAATCATTTTCAGGCAGCTGTCTGTGGTACTCTGCTTGTAGCTTCCAAAAATTCCCACTAGGGGAAGCAAGCCCATAAGCTCCCCTCAGGAATTTTTATAGCCTGGTCACCTAGGTTACCAGGTTGAACTAGAGTGAAACCAGAGTTGGAAGTGGAATGTCCCAACGCAGGGACAGACTGGGGGATTTCCTCACAGAAGGAATCCACTTTTTGTGGATTGCATGTAGCTTTGTTTCCGCCAATGTTCATGTACACTGGCTACCACTACAGAAGAAAGAGACTTGGAGGTCATCGTTGACCACAGAATGAACATGAGCCTTCAATGCAATGCTGTGACTAGTAAAGTGAGCAAAATGCTAGCTTGCATTCATAGATGCTTCTCAAGCAAATCCCAGGATGTCATTCTCCCCTTGTGCTTGGCCTTGGTGAGGCCGCAACTGGAGTACTGAATCCAGTTTTGGGCCCCACAATTCAAAAAGGATGTGGAGAAGCTTGAGAGATTCCAGAGAAGAGCCACGTGCATGATCAGAGGTCAGGAAAACAGACCTTATGACGATAGGCTGAAAGCTATAGGACTCTTTAGCCTGGAAAAGCGCAGGCTCAGAGGCAATCTGATGGCCACCTATTAGTTTATCAGAGGTGACCACCAGTATCTGGTGGAACGTTTGTTCACCAGAGAGCCCAAGGGATGATGAGGTCAAACGGTTATAAACTACCGCAAGACCGTTTCAGGCTGGACATAAGGAAGAATTTCTTTACTGTCTGAGCCCCCAAGGTCTGGAATAGCCTGCCATCGGAGGTGGTTCAAGCACCTACATTGAACACCTTCAAGAGAAATTTGGATGCTTATCTTGCTGGGATCCTATGACCCCAGCTTACTTCTTGCCCCTCAGGCAGGTGGCTGGACTTGATGATCTTCTGAGGTCCCTTCCAGCCCTACTGTCTATGAGGTCTATAAACAGCTAACCATTGTATTGTGTCTATTTCTCTCAGTGAGGGGTGATGAATGAGAGAGGAGGCGCTTGTGATCATAGAGGGGAAAGGTTGTGAACTCTTGTTTTAAAAGATCTTCAGCTACTGCTCCTTGAATATAGTCTGCCCATTCTGGTAGGATGACCTGGGAGCAGGGTGAAGCCACCGCTGCTGCACTGATCACTGTTCCAGCACTACCCTCTGCTTCCTATCTTACAGAAATCCTGGATTCACCCATAGTGTGTTGGATCCCTACAGTAACTTTATCAGTATTTTTTATTTCATTTCTAAGCATAGGAAACATGAAATCTAAGATTGATCATATCTAGAACTGCTATAGTCTTGTTATATTCTAAGTCAAAATTTTAACTATTTGGTGTAAATTCAGGGAAAGTGGACAAAAGAGGCTATGTTTGAAACCATTTTGCAGGATTAACTTGCTCTGCACTTAATTACCTGTATGGTAAGGTAATTATTTTACAGTTAAGGCATGCAAACAAATCTTAATTATGCCTGGTAAGATTTAGGTTGTAACCTCATGATCATAAGCAGGGATCTGGGTTTTCCAATTGCCACGGAAAAACACAGTCAAACACAGATTTTCTCTTTTAGAGAAGTTCCCTCTATACATGTAAAATGTAATTTAACCTTAATTGTGGCATTACAACCAGTGCCTTCTATGTTATTTATTTGTAAACTAGAATTATCCCAGGTGTAGATTAGATATATTAGAGAGAGGCTATGGAGCCCTATGATGCATGTAATTACTTAAGTTGGTTGTAGAGTCTTGGTAGAACTGAGATCTTCTGACTACCAGCCCAGTGTTCAAAGACTATATTGCAGTATACAAAAAAGAAAATTATAAATCATATTGTATTTGTCATGGTATGGACCTGTGCCTCAACTACTCAACTGGAGGATAGGCATTGTGAATAAAAATGACTTGCATGGGTTTGTGTCTGCAGTTTGTTTGCCTACAGAAAGTGTTCCAGGACATAATTTAAGATGCTTCTCTAGAGAAAATGCAATATATTATGAAGCCTTCTGTACAGTATATTGGAAAGTGAATCAGTTGGCACTGCTGTTCAGTTATGTTTACTTGGTTGAAAGACAGCGTGTTGTGAATTGTTGAATGTATTGCCAAAGACAACGTAGAGTAATATGGCACGATAGTAGTACATACACCATGATTTTGTCTGGCATTGTAGTTTATTGCCCTTTTTCTATATAAAGATAAGTAGGTTTATTCTCTATATTTTATTCAAATTTATTGGTTTGATTTGTTTTTTTCCTCCCTTCAGAAATTGCAGTATTCAGCATCTTTTCCAAAAGTGGTATCATCTTATGATTGGAGAATCATGGAAAAATGCAGCTGGAATCGCAGTCCCAACTTCTGCTTAAGGCAAGAACTTCCTTGCCTCAGTTATCTTGGGGAAATGGTATGAATGTATTTGTTTTGTTTTGTTTTGTTTTGTTTTGTTTTCAGGAAAAATCTAGGGAATTGCTAGTTTAAGTGTACTTAGCACCAACCCAGGATGTTTTTCACAGGAACTCAGCTTGGAGGGGGAGAGCCTCTTTAGTGACAATCCTATAGTTGATTTAGAGTTGAATAATGTCTTCACTTTGAAAGTACAGAAGATGAATGGTGGGTAGAAGGAGTTCAGTTTGGGTTTCCTTTTGTTACTCTGTCTGGACCAAGACACAGACAAATTAAGAAAAAAGATCTCTTTATACTAACTGGTGTTGAAAGTTGTGTTTTGAGTGGTTTGGATCTGGGATCCAATTGGAACAAAATCAGAAGATTGTTTCTTCAGACAAAGATTCCTTTTCTACTATACAGAAAAAAAATCTTTTTGGCATTTTGTGGCTCTTTATCCCATCCCCCTCTTATTTTAATATTATTCATTGTACATAAGAGTAATTGACAAATTCCACCCCTTTTACGCACTCCATGCCAGTATACCTCCTTGCTGCGCTGTGACAAACATTTCCTTGTAAAGCAGTGACAAACATTTCCTTGTTTTCTTCTCATTCATAAGTCTGTGGGTTTTTTCCCCTTGTTTTAAGAGGTCCTTTATTTTTACAAGTAATTTTATAAAGGCCTGCATTAAATAAGTTATGCTTTGTCATGGTAGTAATTTTGTAAAGTGGGAAAATAGGAGCTTTTCAACCATTCTGTATACACAACTGACTGCAACTGTGTAGTATAATTGAAGTGGGGAGGGAGCGGGGGGAATCCAGGGAAGCCACCCTTGGAGGCAGAGTGCAAAAACAGCTGTAGCTGGCAGGTGGCTGGGCTACTGGCTGCACAGCATCCAACACTGCCTTGTGTACTGCTGGTGTTCAAGGCACTGAGCTGCCCTTTTATATCCACACTGAGACCAGAAGTTACGGTTTAAGACTGTTTAGAGCCCCGTGTTCTATAATCACATACCAAACATCATTCTGATGACCTTGATAACTTGGTATACAAATAGTATGGAATAATATTTCAACAATTCTTCCTTTAGTTTAAAACACTTTCATTATTAAAACAAATAAAATGGTTTGTTTTAGTCTGGTTTAATTATAGGAACTGTAGCAGGTATTAATATTTCAAAGAAAAGCTCTAAACTAGCAGTTTCTAAAGTATACATCTCTGAATATTAAGAATTGCTTTTTGCTTTACACTTGAACCTTTCATTTTTATTTCCCATTTCCATCATCATTTGCCTCTGTTGTCCTAAGTTCAGTCTTTCTTTCAAAAAGCCTGAGGCGGAATCAATTTAAGTTATGCAGTTTTCTGCAAGCAGCATAGTTTAGACTGGTAGTTACCAGAACACACATTTCACCCCTTTTGGGGGGGTGGAGGAGAGGAAGGAGGCAAATCTTAGACTGAATTCCATCATTTTTAAGCCAGTCTGTGTGCGCTGAACTTCTGTAACAGGTATAGACCCATTTTGTGTGCTGAACTTCTGCTCTGTTATGGGTATAGACTGGTTTCTGATCACTCATACCAGCAAAAATATAATGTCTGTACACGGCCTAAATCAAAACTCCTTCTTCAACAAAAGTGAATTCTTATAAAAATAACATCTCAATATTTTTTCATAGATCTGAAATGAGAATATTTTGCTAAAGCCCATTGTGTCAAATTAGGAAGAATGTTTCTTTTTAATAAAAATACCTGATGTTATGAAGCTGCCTTAGCCAGTTTTGGTATATCTACTTTGAAAGCTAAGGTTAAACTTACCTATGTGATCATCATCACCTCTATTTTTTTAATAGGCCAACTTTTTAGTGGCTGAAATTCTGGATACCTACAGAGAATGGCATATTTGAAACTGTATATTGTAAATACAGAAATGAATAGTTAAGCACTATCCATAACCACAGAGGCAATAGATTTGCATCGCTTTCTAGTGTTTTATTTTGAAACTTAAAAATTGTACATGTCCTACAAGCTAGAAAGGACCAGATTGAAATCTTGCTGCTGACCTAGGATGTTTAAGTTTATTCCTTTTCTAGAAGGAAGTGTAAACTGACAGTCATATCATCATTTTGATCAAGATTTCTGATTTGGGGCTTTCATTCCTTTAATATTCTTGGTATAAGTAGCCCACTTGAAATGGGTTCTTTAAACTGGGGCACATCCAGTACAAGTGTCTTAAATATTGAATAAACTGTTAATTTTTAACTTCAAAACAGCTCTTAGACTTTACAGAAATAGACAAAGATATCAGTCCACATTGATGGAAAGTTACCAAATTTGGGATTTAACTCAACTGTCTGAAATAATATTTGTTAAAATAAAAGGCTTTCTAGGGACTAAGAACACTTTTTAAAAATTCTAAAAACAACTTTCTCAGATTTTCTGTGAAACTTTCAATGTATAAAAACTTTCCTGTTTGCAGAGTACCACAGATATCATTTTAAGGATTATGTTCAGTTTTTGACAAACAGGGAGATATGGATATACTTAATTTTTTTATTATAGAAAGCAAGTACAATATTGAATCAAATCTTACCTGAAAACAAAGGTCTAAGCCTGATAGTTCTTACTCATACTAAAGTCACTGTAAGTTACTTTACTGAAGACAGCAGAAATCATTTTGGCTTCTCAAAGGAATATCGGAATTGGAAACAATTCATAATTTTCAAAAATCTTAAAGAAGTTTTTGCATGTTGAAATAAAATATAATAAAAAGGACACTGGATTTCAGAAGTGAAGACTTTAACAAACTCAGAGACCTGGTGGCCAGGATCCCCTGGGAGGCAAGTCTGAACAGAAAAGGAGTCCAAGAAAGCCGGCTGTACTTTAAAAGAGAGTCTCTCAAGTTTGCAGGAGCAAGCAGCCTTAATGAGGCAGAAGACAGTAAGTGCAACAAGAGATCAACCTGGCTAGACAGCAATCTTCTCGAGGAGTTGAAACTCAAAAAGCAATCCTATAAAAAATGAAAACTTGATCATAATATGAGGGGAGAGGATAGAAGTATCTCATGGGCATGGAAAAGGTACAGGGACAGGCAACCAAAGCGTACAAACAGAAGTGCCAATTTTTGCCCCATCTGGCCACAGGAAGCAGTTTATACTTGTGACCAAACAAAAGTGCACTGCTGCAGACAGCTTCAGAAATGGATGACCAACAGGGTCAGATGAAGATGTTTCAAAATAGAGCATCTTCTGTAACCTCTGTCTGCACTTCCTGCCAACCTTCAGCTGTTTTCATAATTGGAGGGGGGGAGGGGGGAAGGGTGTAGAGGGAGTTTGGTCTGGGGTTTTTTCAGCACCTGCTGGAAGGTGGGGTGGGTGTATTGGAGCCCTCTTCCCCCAAGACTCCAATTCAACCAGTGCACTCCAGACCTGGGTGGAGAACCCCTAGAATGAGCTCACTCTGTTCCCTTTCCCCCCTCTTATTCTGAAACAGACAGGCCGGGAGAGAGGAGGGGCCATTGCTCAGGGAAAATGGCTGCAAGCAGCAGTCAGCAACTAGATTCCCCTCCCTGGAACCAACAATGAACTTCTGTTTCAAGACATGGTTGTAAACTCAGAATGCTTCCTGCAAAGTGTTCAGTTACACTGGGGAGCTGCACTTCTATCTGCACCCAAGATGACTGGGGACATAGAGCCATTGCTATACCAGAAGAAACTGAAAAGGCTAGGAGTCTTCAGTTTGGAAAGGAGAAGGCTGGGAGATGTGATAGAAGTCTATAAAATCATGAAAGGTGTGGACCAAGTGAACAGGAAACCTTTGTTCACCAAGTCCTAGAAGACTAGAACTAGGGGGCACCCCACTGAAATTAGTGGGAGACAGGTTTAAAACTAACAAGAGAAAGTACTTTTTATGCAATGCATAGTTAATTTGTGGAATATATTGCCACAGGAGCTGGTGGAAGCAGATAGCATAGAGATAGCCAGGTTCAGAAAGGGACTGGATAACTTTATGAATGATAGATCTATTAATGGCTATGGAATAGAATGGTTGAAGATGTTTCCTCTGGCATCTCTAAACCACTAATGGTGGGCATGAGTGCCAAGGTGGGTACTGAATAGGGGGAAGATCCTTCTGGAGATACCCAGTTGAATGCTTTCTCTCTCTCTAACATCCCTTGCCACTGTCAGAAACAGGATTCTGGACTAGACTGATGAGAGAACTGACCCACTATGACACTTGTTGTGTTCATATGGACATGCAGAGAGATAATTAAGAAGGTCAAAGCAAAATTTGAGATGCAGCTGGCAAGGGACATAAAAAGCAGTAAAAAGGGATTCTATAGGTATGTAAAAAGAGGAAGATGAAAGAAACCATAGGTCCCCTATGGAATACAGATGACAGTTGATTAGTTACAGACATTGTGGAGAAGGGTGAAATATTTAATGTCTTCCTTACTTTAGTTTGTTTAAATAGGGGGAACTGCCTAATGATAAGTGCAGTTGGAAGCAGAGATAGAGAAGGAGACAAACAGCCTGGCTTAATGGAGGAACAGGTTAGGGATTACGTAGAGAAATTTAGATGCTTTCAAGTTGGCAAGACCAGATGGGATGCATCTGAGTGTACTGAAGGAATTGGCTCAGGTAATTTCAGAACCATTGGCTATAGTCTTTGAGTACTCATGGAGGTCAGATGAGGTCCCAGATGACTGCAAAAGGGCAAATATATTGCTCATCTTTAAGAATGGGAAGGAGGATCCAGGGAACTACAGATGAATTGTCCTGACCTTGAGATATAGAAAGACCATGGAACAGGTCCTCAGGGAATACATTGTGAAGGACCTAGAGGAGAACCAGGTGATTAGGAACAGTCTTCATGGCTTCACCAAGAGCAAGGCATGCCTGACTGGCCTGGTTTCATTCTGTGATAGAAAGATAGGCTCTGTGGATAAGGGAGAGCAGTGGATGCGTTATCTTGACTTTAACAAGGTGTTTGATGTGGCCTCCCATGACATTCTCATCAGCAAGC